AGTGGTTACAATGCGTCGTTTATAATCCTTCAATAAATTCCTGAACACATAATACAATGTGAGATTTGAGTTTCCTGTTGTGTTGAGCACGAAGATTACTGTCTTCCGGGATGTGACACAGTACAGTTTGGTAGATTTTGGAGGAGCCAACTCCCTTCACCTTCAGCTTTTCTACTCTTCAAAATTTTGGTACCTATCTGCCAAATTGCATTGAGTCTCATCCCCAAACACAGTTAACTAATAACAATCTAAAATAAAACAGAGGGGGAAAATAATTTCACAGACGAAATAATCTGTGCTAGTTAGGCAGAAATATACTGTTGTGTTATACAACATAATAGTTTAATGGGTTTTGTTTTGCACAATTTTTTACAGGACATGAGGAGGCATATTAACAAACCTGTGTAGAACCTCAGCAGCCTCATTGATCTCATACGGATTGCAGATCAGAGCTTCATGCATCGTTTCACCAGCTCCAGCAAATGGAGACACAATTAAAACGCCAGGTGGCTGGTTGATCTGACATGCTACAAACTCCTTGGCTACGAGGTTCATTCCTATTGACATGCAGTTATGAGATCAAGAAAAAGCTTAATATTAATTAATGACTAAAAGAACATTATTCATATTTTAAGGAAGGTCTGATCATGTTAACTAGAGTCATAGTAACATTAATTGTTAAATTAAGTTACACCTGTAATTGAATAAGTCAGGAGAACAGAGTCAAAAATACTGTCACGCGTTGGGTATGTCACGCGACAAATAACTTCACGTGGGTCTCGGATTTAGCGAATCTTTATTGTGCTTCACTTATACACTCGCACACTTTACAATTATTATGACTTGCAGTATCACAACTACTGCTTCCGCTGTATCTCGGCCAATACTAGACTGCTTTCGGCAGCGGCCTTCTGAAGACTGACTCGTTATCGTGGAAGTGCATTATTCTGGTTCAACAAACTGTTGCTTAGGAAGTGCAGTATTTCCCATTGTTACTCAACAACAATTCGTTACTACAATTTGTCGCTGTGGGAACTCCAGTTTCCACATATTTGTTGCTGTGGAAGTGTCCGTTCCGATTGTAGCGGTTGTCGTGGTGATGGACATAAGGTAATATGTCACAATACTATGGAGCTTGCTTCACACACAACTCAAACAACTTTTTGCTGTTTTTCTAAATGTTGAAGGGAGTGAAACATTAATACAAGGCAAGAAACAGAGGTTTTAAGCATGTGCATGTTGCAATGTTAGTGGAAATATCAGTGAAGTTACACATTAAACAAGCATTTTCCATATATATATTATGATTCTGGACTAGCTCTATCAATTGAGCACAAATGAGGTTTTACCTGAAGATGGAAACAGAATCCAGTCTCTAAAACGTTGCATTTTAAATAAAAATAATGGATAATTTCCAGAAACACAATATTTGTATTAATGTTCCATCATCACAAACTTTTAGAATCTTTTCCATGGTTAATATAACTTTTCAATTACCCAGTACAAGGATCCTTAGTACAGACACAGGCATATGTTGTAAAGATAGAAAAGCAAAACTGATTCTGTGCTTAAGTAAGAAATACAACATAAAGACATAAGGGGAGTGTAGGTGATCAGCCCCCAGAAATGTTTTCCTGAGGGAAAGAGCCCCCGAAACTCACTGGCTAAGAGGCTGGGTGGGTCCCAATAAGGATGCTGTGAGAGAAGAGAAATATCTTTTACTCCTGACAAAATCAAATCCTGATTCATTGATCTTCCAGTCTGTGCAGTCATTACGCTGACTGTGCAAACCCGTTGTCTGTATGTGCAGAAGTCATCCCATCCACCTGGACTCCAGTTACTCCAATCTACATACAGAGGGCCAACACTATGAACACAATACAAGGCAGTTTTCCCAGGGCAAGAAACCACTTATCATAAACACATCTATTACTTAACAGAACTTAACAGAATCCAGACTCTAGGGCTGAACAATGCTGTGACCATAAGACTAAAACTGTCATACCATCACGCAGGGGTGTCACAAGGGCCACAGCAGAATCACGGTAAAAACCAGCCAACTCATCATGACTCACACAGCCATAGATGTAACGAATTGGCGACCAGCTGTAAGTGGTGAAGCTGCCATTGATACGCCCTACAAGCTGGTCCATCTCTTCCTTCAGATCCTGATACTCTTTCACATCGGTTCGAGAAGGAACAGAAATCTGTAGCAATGTTACCTGGCACCACAAAAATAAGCTATGTCAGTAACAGGTCAGTCTGAAGTTCCTTCAGGGTCATGGAGATACCCCATGTAGTATGGCACACAGGTACTACAGAATGTAGCTTAAGAGACAGGTACTCTACAAAAATCAGTGCAGAAAAAACTACAAACATCATGGAAATAACTGT